AAAACAATGCTGAAACAAAAAATATTAAATATTATGAAGAAAATACTAATCGCCTTCTGGGTCCATAATTTCTCATTTTGTTTCTTTTTTTTTTGGCAGAGCTACTCATATGCCGTTATAAAACTTCTTTGGTTTTTTGTTAAAATATTTTCTGCTTCATGTCGCGAACTTATAGGACAATCTAATATTTTCGTAATACCTTCTCTCGTTCGTCACAATTTTTTTTTAACGTCAATAGATAGGACGTTAACAAACATTCGTTCGTGTGACTGGAGAAAAGATAAGGCTTGCCGGTGTATTAAGGCATCCACTTGTCGGCAGTTTGCCAGTGTTGCGATAACGCGGCATTTTCGCATCTCCAAAGTCGCAAACTAACCGAATAATTGCGGCATTTACCGCAGCTGCTGTGTACTCGTGTACCGAGCAGCAGGGTTTAGGGAAACTGAAGGACTCCTTGCAAGAAGTGTCGTGATGACACCTTGAACAAAGTGTACGCGACACGCCGGCCATCGACAGTGGCAAGAAACGCCTTTTGTCACGTTATTACGCCATGGATCATCCGACGAAAAGGACATTTCGTGGCTTTTGACAAATTACCAGAAGAATGAAAGAACAGATCGTTCTAAGACATTTTTTCGTTACAATGAATGCTGGATTTAAGCAGTTTGCCTTCTGGGGTAGATTGTAATTATAATAGGTAAATCACAAATTGTTTAACATTCCTTTTTAAGAAGTAAAATTTGTGGAGTAAATAGAAGAGAATATATTTAACATTTTTACTATTGAAAATGTATAAAAGAAAATTAATAAGTGTAGCAAATACTTCAATTTGTTTGTTGGAAAATTTATAGATTGATAAATTTTAACAAAAATAATTAATTGTATTTATTTTCTTCGAATGTGGATTAAAGAAATTAAAGAATCATGCATAAATAGTTATTTAAAAATTTCAGCATTTAATATAAAATTAAAAATTCAATATAACGTAGGTTTGGGTATAAAGAATAAATATTTTTCTCAGATTTATAACTGGCAAAAAATGTGCGCCATTCTTATAACGTTTGCATTTTTCATCGTCACGAATATCTCGTCGCATTGAAAGTAAATAATAACAAATCTGTTCGTTATCATGTTAAAGGAATAATAAACGAAAAAGTACATAGCTATTTGTTAAAAGAAACCTTAATTTCTCGCATGAAAATAAAAGTCGAATTGAATCAAATTAAAAATACGCTAATTTTTATAAAAATGGAATACATGAGTATAGGTATCAATTGATACTTTGTTGAGAAAAAGGCCATCAATACTACCGGTGCACAGTTTGATTAAATAAAGATAATTACTTCTGAAGATACATCTTTATTATCGTTTCGACCTACAAAAATCTAATTACAACCAAGATTCTTCACACGTCTCTGAAGAACAGTATTTCCCAAGAAGAAAATCACAAGAATTATGCAATTATTGTCGCAATCGTGTATTTTCGCGTGAGAGGTGACAGAAACGAGGACAAGAACGGGGTGGTAATCGAAAATACAGGTCGGGAAACGGTTAAGGCCAGAAAGGCAAAGAGAGAGGGAGGAAAAATGGGAGAAAGAGAATGAGTGTCCGTAGGCGGAGCGTATCCAAGCGGCGAAAGAAAGGGACCGCAAGCGCTGGCTGCAAGCGAGTCAATATTGTGACACACGTCGCCGTCGGTGGGCCTGAGACAGCTGCCATTATACCAAGAGATTATCTTTGGCTTCCACCTAATATAATCGACCCTGCGGTGGGACAGTTTCATCGACACTGCTGTCATTTGCTGTGACAATTTAATGATATTAACGAGTCACGCTCGCCATTTAACCTAATTATCTTCCCTAAATAGCTATGAGTGACACGGGAAAATTTTTTGTACGTAATTCAATCGGTTTCAAACGGTGAATAAGATGGAAGAAAATTTTTTTCTGTTTCTTTTTTTTTCAATTAATTATATTTTCTTTTATTATAGGTATATTTTTTTCTACTGCATGTTGTAGCAGACATCGATATGCATTTAAACGTGTATAATGGTATGACCATAAGATGATCTTGGACTCTAAAATTTTATATCAAATGTGAAAGTTTCTTTCGTTCTTTGCAAATTTCTTCCAACTTATTCGCCCTTTGAAACTATTTAAATTAGGTAATACAAATTTTATCGTACCACCGCAGCCATTTAGAGAAGATCGTTGGGTGGACTGTTTTACCTTTTTTCTTTTTTTTTTATACCCACTTCTGTATTGTGTTAAACACTTCTTCAGAGTAAGCGGAATATTTACCTATCTTAATCGTGATATCAATCATGAGTCACATTAGAATTACATTTAATTGCTATCTAACATTCGGTCGCGAAAAATAATTCAACCAATACTTAAATAAACATCAGAATAAAAAATAAATACAAACATGACTATATAACTGTGTAAAAGAGAAGAAGTAGATGATTAGATAGAAGAAAGAAAATGAATACCTATTTAAGTGAAATTGAAAAATGATTTTCATATGCTTAGATTAATTGATTAATTGTAATCGATGAAATGCACCAATTTTCGTTTATTCGCGTTTAGGTACCTATAACAATTTTGTAAAATATTTCAAATACAAAAGAGCTGCGGTATTCTGATCGGAATTCTTATACTTTCATTGCACTTAGCTTATCTTGGCTTTTGAAGTGTGTTCAACACGCTAAATAAGGAGAACTCTTAATCAATTACCAATTATTATTTATAATTTAATTTTGAGCAACTGAATATCATACGTTAACATTTTAATGAATATAAATATAATTTTGTACATGAATTTAATTGTGTTTAATTTATAAGCGCAGCATAAAGACCCTAGCACGTAAATTAATTAAAAACTAGAGATAGATAAATAAATATAGATCACATTGTTAAATTGATAAACGCATAAATAAAACGGGTGTAATAAAAGAATGCACCTACCTAAATTAATGTAAAAGCATTAAAGCGAGCATTCAAATCTTAGAACGTAAACTGCAGTCCATAATTACATTTCCTCCTTCTAATTTCTTATTCGAACGATCGTTCTTCTATTTTCAATAGATAAAGGGATGCTAGCGAAAAAGTAACCTGCACAGTAAGTTCTCTTCGCTATCAACACATCCCAAAATAATAAAAGATAATACTGACGGATTAGTGAAATGTTACAATTAATATACAAAGTAAATACAATCTCCAATTCATAAATTTTGAAAAGTATCTAAAGTAGAATGAATTCTATAGAAAACGTAGACACGCGTGAAACATAGGGAACACGAGTTCCAAGTCACTCGAAAGAAATATAGAGATATTACTCTACTGATAAGCAGGGGATATCTCGATTATTGCTGAAAATAGTTAGGTTGTCCGTGATTAAGTGCGATCATTATGCGCAAATGTTTAATTCTCATTTTACACTTCTGTAAACGTAATAAACGATGATGATCGATCTTAATCACACCCGCGGCAAGTTCAAGTTTTTGGCTTTAAATCATTTCCGCGGCGGGGCTGATTTATGAACTCACCTGGTGCAGTTTATAATTGTTATACATTCTTAATTATGTATGATTTTGTTACGACCACGCAATAAAGTATCACTCCAATCTGTTGGCCTGGTGCAACGAACGCGATGAGCTATGTAATACACGATTCGCTTCCGTACACTCATCTACTCCAAAAATATACCAGTTTGATGCATTTAAACAGTACATTACTTTGCTGGAAATAACGCCTCGTTTATATGTAGGTATTAAATAATTTTTGAAGCGGCGGATACTTAATTAAAATTTCACAATTATTATCTGGTTCCCTCGTTACTTTTGGGCGATGTAAATAATACAATTGGAAAGCACAGTGCATTTTATAAATATGATAAAGTTTTAGTGAAAATTTATGGAAGAAACTGAAACGTGTGGTATGAATTGGAAAGTTGCTAATTTTAACTTACGTTAATTGTATTTAAATGAGTAAATATTACAAGTATAGGGAGGTACTTGTGAATTATCAGATTAATATTATATTGTCTATATTTTACATTTAAATACATAGCATTCAAATATGTCTATATACTTTCCCAATTTTTCTATGTCTTTCCCTTTCGTGAATAATTTTTCTATTACTCAATTTGTATATTAAATGCCACATGAAATTCTTTAATTACAGTGCTAATAGTTGTTTCAGGTGTCAACGCTTGTTTCAAAGAGCTACGAGTAGAAAATCTTCGAAAATAACAAATATCTCCTTCAGAACCATTACGACAATTTTCGTTTTGAAAAATTCCTCCAAATTAATTTTAAGACACTATGAGAATATAAAAAATAACATTGTCCAGTTAATATCAGGATAAAATCACGATTAATTAACATTTAGTATTTAGTATCTAATTGGTTTTGAAGGAAACATTCAAGATTTTTATCCAACAGCTGCTTAAATTCTAATCGTATTTACTTATAAATACCAGTAGCTGGAATATTTCAAAAAATCGTTTCATTTACAGCATTCAATGCAGTTATTTTAGTTTCAAAAACATCTCCTAAAAAAAAAATAAATAAATAAAATTGTCAGAGGTAAAACCGCGATGAAATTCGCCAGTCTCGACATTTTTGCGTGTATCCGATCGCGAGACTTCCCCTACTAGCGTAGGGAGTCGCGTAAACACACAGCGAGACGGGGATATATTTCCATAACGTGGACAAGTGCGGTTAAAACGCGACAAGTGCGAAAAATGTTGTCTATTCCGCGTGTTTTACACGGGAATCGCGTTCACGGGGGCGTGAAAGCCGCCTTCTACACTTTTTTTTATCGGCCAGCGATATCTCTGGCCGGCGGGTCGCTGGTCGGACGCCATTACGCTCGACGTGAGTAGTGCCGCGCGCTGATTGGTCGAGCGGGGTGAGTAGTGGGGAGGAGTTCCGTCCGTAGGCGGGACTGAACGTCTTGGCGCGGTCGCACCCTTCGTTAATCACAGGCGAGCAAGCAGTCGTCAGTTCAACATCGTGAACATCCAAGTCACGTCATTTCGGCCGTTATCGTTCATTTCGGCCAGTCATTTCTCGTGAATTCGTCGAATCCAATTCGAGACTGTCTTCAATTCTTTCGCCGTTTCGTGCACGCGTTTCCGCGAATTCTTCGTCCATATATCCCAACAGTGCTCGGTGACACAGAAGTCTCTACAAAATTCGCAGCTGTTGGTGCTTGGTGCTTGGTGTATGTGACCGGGCCTCATCAAAGAAAACTTCAATTTCTCAGCCTGCCACGATGGACCCGATACACTCGTCCATTTGTTAAATAAACATCAACGACGCCGACATCGTGACATAGACATTTAACACGTTGTTTATGTATACTGGTGGCAGGGAGCTCGGTGTTCACATTGCTTCAGCAACATTTCCTATCGCCGTTGCGACGTATTAATTAACGAGAGTGACGTGCAACCGGTGACGGGTGCACGGGATCAGCCGGCCACATGACGGACATCAGTAGCATCGGTATGGTCTCCTACTATAATCCGCTGGCGATGTATCGGCAGCAACAGCAGTCGACCGGCCAACAGGCGCTGGTGCAGCAAGTGCAGCAACACAGCCAAGCGCAACAGGCGCAGCAGCACGCGGCCACCACGCCCGCCGACGGTGGCCAGCAATACTGGTACGGATATCCTCACGGTCACCCTCACGCTGCTCACCATCATCATCAGGCAGGCGGTCCTCAGCAATACTTGGACCACACGGATGTTTTACCCGGCTGGCCTCATCCTCATGCTCACCATTACACCCATCTTCAGTATCAGCACCATCAGGCGTATCAGCAACAGCAGCAACAAGCTCAGATTGCCGGAGTAACGGATTGGAGCGGCGACGAAACGAACCCAGCGGTTGGTGCTGGAGAACCTAGCCCACCGATCACGGTCAGCGGAAGCGAGATCAGTAATCCTGGTACACCATCCACTCCGCCGGCTAATAATAATAATAATACGATTACAACTAATAATAATAACAACAATAATAATAACAACAACAACAATAATAACAATACGACGCCAATGAGACCGGCACAGATCAGGAGCCCGTACGAGTGGATGAAGAAGACGTCGTATCAGAGTCAGCCGAATCCAGGTTAGTGAGATTTCATGGTTGTTATGACTTGGGGAATTTGGGAATGGAAGGGTTTTTGAATTTTCTCGATTAATGTAGGATAATTGATAGATTGAAGTATATTGAAGTATATTGCACTTCAGATGTATCGGGACACCCATTATGCTCGTAGAGAAAGTAGGTACTACATCAGAAGTTAAACAGTTTAATTTGTCATTTTGTTGCTTGGAAAATTTCTAATATATAGATTTAGTACGAAGAAAAATGTTAGAGGTTGAACTGCAATCACTTCGAAGCGAGTTAAATTTTAGACGACTTATGTTTTATAATGCTGTAATTAAGTAATTTTTGAAACGGAAGTTTTCGTTTTTTCGCCTTAAGAGAGTGTTCTCGCGGTAATTCGCTAATGTAATTAGGTGTATAAATTAATTCGGTGCCTTTCCGATGAAGTTTTGACCACTTTATCTACTACAGACCATCCTATTTTTCCAGAGATGAAATTCTCATCAATTAACCGATGAATTGGAAATAATGAAGATTACTTCGAACATGAAAATTGCTTGTAATTTTTTCTATATAAACATTGAAGTTTGTGAAAAGAGCACCGAATAGTATCGAATAGTATCTACTAATAAAGTTTCCAACAAATGCTGCTAGATTTGCCTTATCCAGAAAATGTCAGTTTACTAAATCGCACTGAATAGTGAAAATTTCGTACTTAAAGGAACAATCGAAATGTTTGTTCACACTGAAGTAGGTGTGAAATTTTCGTACTGCCACAGCGAATATTTGATTGATCTCTAGGATTCGGTGTCTTTCTTCTCCACGTTTGTCATTTTGTTTTACGTTGCGAATTTAGAGCAGCAGCGAAGAAAACGCCTCGAAAGGGCGAAAAAAATCGCCTCAAGTTCGCAGTCTTTACGGAAATTTTTGCGTTGGTGTGAATTTCGCGATTCCTACAGTTGCAAACCTATCGTCACGAAATATTCGCAGCCGCTACAAATATTTCGTGTTGGTTCGAGGATTCCTTTAGTGTGAACAAATAGGCGAATTTCGTTGCCACTGCCCTTGCGAATACTTCGCGTTGGTTTAGGGGTTCCCTTAACCCCTTGACTCCTGGCTTAGATTCTGGTCAAGATATGACAAAAATAGTTATATTAGTGACAAAAGTTAATTTTAGTTCGAACTGTCGTTATAATTTATAAGACTGAGGATTATCATATTTAATTGATCTATAATACAGTAGCTTTTCTCACCTAATATAGTAGGGTGAGTTGTCCTAATATGGAATACTTTCTTTATGCACATATTTTACCTATTTGCAATGCTTTTATATCAACTTGAACATGATGGTTTTGTAGGAAATTTTATGCTATTTTGATTGCTAATAGACAAATTTTAAATATAATAACAGTTTAGACAATATTTATTATTTTTACTGAGGTCCTCATTTCCCATATTTGGCTGATGGTTCTCCTAATAGGAGATACTTTATTCGCCTAATATGGAATAGCATATTATATCGAATTTACTCTTTCGAAGATGGAAAGTAGGATATAAATAAGTAAGTAACGCGTCTGATAATTCTCTTTATTTAAAAAAAATAGAAAATAAAGTTAATGTACTTACCTTGTTATGCACAATATCAGTCTAAAGATTCCTATACAAAAACTCAGATTATGGGTTTCTTTTCAATATTCTTTTATAAACACGTGCTTCTTTATAATCTCTGCATACGCTCACTAGTTGAAATAAATAACAAACGCAACCGATTGTATTTACTGCCAAATGATGGCAACGCCAGGATTCTTTAATGCCGTGGTATTTTATATTGGGCACGTATTCCATATTACGACAACTCATCTTACTAAAACAGTAAATAATTAACGTGTAGATGCATAGTCGGTAAAAGGAATCACAAGTCAAGGGGTTAAGGTGACGATATATCAATAAAAATATATCTATACGCTCTTTATACTACAAGATTGTAAACTGAATAATTCCCTTTTCGATCTTAATAATTTTGCAACGACTATTCAGATTTAGTTCTTGTTCAATAAGTGTCCTAGTACTTATGAACTAAACAGGTATAGATATACTGCAAATGGTAGCCATTTTTTAATTCTTACTTTAAAGGAATGCGGAGAGAATGGAAGATAAATGAAAGATCTGGATTAAAGAGTATTGGTCCAGTATTATGTACGGTAGATTGATTGTTCTTTCTTTTACATTCGATTAGGTATAGATATTAGTTATTTTATATTAGATATGTTATAATGTTTCCAAAGAAGAAACTGTTTCATTCCAATTGATTAGATCGAAGTAACCATTCGTTCTTCTTTAATTCTTAAACTATTAAACTAGCTAAACATAGACGTAGTTTTACATATTCAAATTGAATCGTGTTGAAGAAGTAAACCTTCTTCACGAAGACATTTTTCGCGTAATTCATTCATCGATTAATTTCCAATTTAGGATCGTTAATATATTTGTTGAAAAAGTAAACGTAAATTTAAATCTAGCTCACGTTCCGTGGCTAAAACTCTTATATATACACTTAAAAATACATGTAACACTTAAAATACATATTTACGTTACTTTTCCAAAATCTAACGAAGAAATGAAAATTCAATCCCAGCGTGAAAATTCGAACGCGATTCTTCTGTTCGCCAGAAGACTGCTAAGTAATTTGGACTATCGGTATCGGTTTCTCTTCCTCAATCCGATATTCAAATCCAGAACAATATCTCATTAGGTCACGAAAGGTTAGAGATATTAATCCGGCGAACAACACGAAAGTAATCAAAACCAAGACGTAAAGATACTCGAACCTCATTGTTCACCAATAACGAGCACGCAAATCGTAATTATTAAATTCGCAGAAGCAGTCGACACAGGTATACTAATATACTAGGTGGTCCAATAAGTTCGTGCCGCAATTCGTTGATACTCTTCACGATGTGTTTTGTATTTCGAGTTACTTTCGACAAATGAAACGTGCAAATACTGTGCTCGGTTAGAAAAATTCAGGGAAGCAATAGCAGTGAAACCGTCCAGGACTCTTAAATCTGAACAAAGTGATTTTTCACCACGATAATGCTAAAACGTGCAAAAAGAATTAAGTGAATTCGGTTGGGATATTTTATCACAACCGCTATAATCTCCGGACATTACCCCATCAAATTACCATCTGTTTCATGCATTACATTTTTCAATTTGGCAAAACATTTGACAATATCGACTCTACCAGAAACGACGTTGAAAAATATTCGAATGAAAACCCGAAGAAATTTTCTAGTGACGGAATATTAGCTTTGCCAAAAGTATGGGAAGAAGTTGTGGAACGAGACGGTGACTACGTTCTTTCGTAGCATTTAAAGGTACGTTTGAAATGTCGATCTAAATGGCACATCAATAAACGGCACGAACTTATTGGACAACCAAATACAAAAGGAGAGGCAGATAACGCGATCCTACAAAGTCGAATTCGTCGACGACTTGTTATTATTATTACTGATAATACTTTTACGAGTTTAAGAATCGTAGGTTGAACGAGATTCAGCCAACGATAGAAGGGACAAAGCTGGAAGCTCTCGCACTGGAAAGCAACGATATATTTGTTTACGATCGTTTACGGTTCGCTCTCGCGATTCGTCGTTCAATTACTTCAGACAAAATTCTAATTGCCGGTATTATATTAATCGATGACACACGTGATGGATGGGACGAATTAAAATGTTTCCCGCTAATACCGATAATGGGTCCGCGTTAATGGAGTTTCGATCGCGACCGCGAAACTTTTCGTCCGTTCTAATCTTCGTAACTGTTATCCTTCGTGATTCCCTTAAGGTTTCATTCATGCATAGAGGCACAAAGAAACGATTGAAATATTCCTGAGAAACTTTAAGGAACCTACTTACTTGGATAATTAGTATTCTGGTGTGTATCTCGGATTGGATTTCGAAGTTCGATTTGGTAGGCCAGGACGTTGGTTTCTGTGTACCAACATGTGTGATGTTTATAACCGGGAGATATATCCTTCTAACAGTAACAACTACGCTGTTTGAAACAGTGAAGACTATGAATCGTATAGGAGAATTTTGGTTTAAGTTTCGCGAATTTTAAATGCTATAGAAATTTCGATATAACTCGAGAATTTTGTCATTTTTACGCAGAAATGATTTTGGAACGTAGGATATTCTTTTAGTAGTAGAAATTTTATTCAATTATTAACGAGCTTCGTTTGCATTGAATCGTATGTGCCTATCGATTGCAAATGAACTGGTATTTTTACTTTGTAAAATAATTAATTATTTCGTGAAGAAGTTGATTCGCAATGTTCCAAATACTTATTACTTGAATTTGCTAAGTTTTTGTAGATAATTCGTACCTTAAAGCAGTAACAAATCGTTCTTTCACTTAATATCATCTATTCTTAGCTAAATTTTTCTCCGGAGAAAAATTTAGCTAAGTGAAAGTTAATATTAACTTTCACTTAGCTAAATTTTTCCCGAGAAGAATGCATTTACACGAGAAATTAGTCACTAGTCCTAATTTTTCAACAACTATTTCGTTCTGCAAAAGGAAGATAGGTGTCAGATTAAATTTAGTACAAATGTTCCTCGAGTAGTAGCAGTAGATTGTAAAATGTTATTTGAGAATATACAAATAACAATCGACAAGGATATATAAAATGTTTATACGTCAAAAAAGAATTTACATCGATTTTATTATAGTTCATTTCGATTACAAGTATGGTAAACAGAAAAGATTTTTGAAAAACAGCCGTGGAGGACTTCGCGCACATCGTGCTCGGTTATAAACACGTCTCTGCGGTCTAGATATGGCGAACAATGTAAACACGGTAACAGACGAGCAAACATCTAATTGCTCTCAAATATTTGTGAGATAATCTCCGTCCTCTTGCTGTCGCCTCGATTTTCAACCGGACCAACGAAACCTTAGAACGCTACTCGTTCGAGTCACGTTCTCGAGTCATCTTCAACTGTACCTAAAGATTTGCTTCTCTTCAAATCTCTCCACTTGTACCTAACCGTAGAATTGCTAGGTTTAATGTCAATCTTCGTCGTAATGGACATGTAATTAGTCAACAGGTTCATAGGTTTAGCTTGGTATAATATTGTATGCTTCCTGATTTACGTGGATTTTAATTGTTTCGGTAAACTCCTCAGCTGCGTGCTAATTCTTCGTGTACAGTTTCTCGTTTGAGATACGCATTAGTGTGTGTACAACGCGGCAGATTTACGACTGAGAAAATCGTGATGTAATTTTGAATTTTTTTTGGAGAAGCAGAAGTGTAGAAAATTGCTAAAGAGCTGAAATATTGTTAGAAAATTATAAAGTATGACTGTAGGCTTTACAATTTTTAGACTTATAGGTATTTAACATGTTAATTGAAACACCTTATTATATGAATTTAATGTTTCTATTGAATTTACAGAATTTCTATTCTGCTAAAAGGAAGTTTCTACTACCGAATTTTTTTAAAAACAAGTGTATCTTAATGTATAATACCTATACATGGAAAAATTGAAAATAGTTAGGTAGATCTTAAATATACGAGGGTGGATTAAAATTTCGCGATCTAAATATTAAAGATTGTTTTTACGTGCGTGTAACTTTTATTGTATAATTACTGACGTACGAAGTTTCGTGGCTCTGCCATTTTAGTAGTCTTTTTTACAACTGGTGAAGTAGAGGTGTTTACAGTGACGAAGAAGAGATGTATAAAAATAAGAAATGATCCAATACCTGGTGATAAAGGACCTCACTGCAAAGATTTTGAATGATTTTTGCAAGGGCCTCGAATGATCTTTGAATTGAGGTACTTTATCACCAGATATTGGATCGCTGCTCGTTTCTCATTTTTATCCATTCTTACTCCATCACTTCAAATACCTCTACTTTACTAGCTGTAAAAGAGAGAAAAATGACGACAGCCACGAAACTGCATACATTAGTACACAAATAATTGGATATTATATAGTAAAAATTACAAGCACTCAGCAACAATCCTTCACACTTGACGACTCCGAAAATTTCAGAGATAAAAGTGAAGAGGCAACATAGGCTAAATACTATTCTAACAATATCGAAGAAATATGACAGGTGCATATCTTGCAACGACAATAAAAATCCAAGCCTCAAAGAAAAAAAAGTATCTACTTAAGCAGTCATGTATATTTTCTACTGTTGCAGCATGCAACATGCCTGCAAACTGCAATGCAAGTGCAGGTTCAACGATTCACGAGCTCTGCACCATTGACGCCCTTGGTACGATAACAACAACCATTATCGTTCAATTATTGTGCTCTACGTTATTTTGTTGTTAGCGGTGCATATATATACGTGATCCTAGACTGTTCGATGGTTTGCATGCGTCGATTGTTTATTTATTACCGTTGAAGCATGTAAATATATTATTCTATATATCTACAGCTGACTGTTTTACATTAAATACCAAGCTGAGCATGTTCGTTTCCATAGAAGTTGAATCGATGAGACGAATATGACGTTTGCATGATAAATGTTACTCGATTCATTGAGTTGTTCAGTATGTACCTACTTACATGTTCTAATTATTCGATCAATTTTTCTTAATTTATAATGTTGTTCTTCACCGTCAAATGTGATTGCATGATATCAATGGTACAATCGAAGTGGTCTTTGTTACTCGATTAAACGTATTCTTTATCCAAGAAAAGTTATGTTACATTGCAGACGTTCTATTGCAAGATAGAATGCAAAAATATTACTAAAGATTTAATATCTACTCATCAATGTTCAATTTACAGTACTTATTTAGGTACCTCAATTTATTTCCTTACACTGCAGACATTCCATCACAAAACAGAATGGAAAAATATTATTATACGTCTAATACCCATATTTACTTCAATTTATTTCCATCATTTTGTACTCATCGATACTCCACTATTCCAATATTATTTACATCTCCACGTACACAATTCTTCCTTCTAAAATCTCATATATTATCCATCTAAAGTACAGAAGCACGCGAAATGTCCTTACTTCTATAGAGATAACCATCGGTGGTAGCGTTTTATGAAATCATCACTTATGCACCAAGACTAGACAAGGATAGGAATTTTTTTTCTTTACCCTGTTCCTTCTTGCTGCTCAGTTTCACCCTGTCTTCCTCTTTCTTCTACCGTTTCACGACCGCGCGACCCTTCAATACCTTCTAGCGACTATTATCTGCATTTTATGGTTATATTGCAGGCAGCCGCTGCCTCGTATAACGACGGCTTTCGCATGATTCAAAATACGTATTACAATTTCGTGGCGAGAGCCGCGTATTCCTATAACAGTGTGCGATTTTTTTCTCGTCATTATTAGTCGGCGTGCTTCTTCGAACGACCGCGTTTGTCCGATTCCCCGCGATGGCGGCACGCGATTTCTCAAGATTTTATTGCCGGCGCCATTTTGGTCACACCACGAGAAGGTGATCGCGATCGAGGCAGAAATGATATTTTTCCTTCCAGATTCTAAAAATACTGCATTTTAATTGCTATTTTATTTAATTATTATTTCTTATATACTTTAGTTGAACAGTTGCTGTGTATATACCTCCGCAATTTCAAATATATTATTCTATTCAATGTGCTTTGAAATTTATAATTCAAATTAGGTGAAATTTCATTGATAATTACACTTCTCTGGTCTGAGATTACATTCTCCTAGGTTGTTTATTTGTCTACTCCAGTTGAATGGATTTCTGCGTGATTCTTGCAGTTAGGCATTCTTTAAAGTATATCATTACTCAAGCAGTTGATATGATATTCTATTCTGAGTTTCGAGCAAGTCTTTTTACAAAATTATGTACCGTGTGTTCTGTATAGTGCAATATTTCTTTTACAATATGTCAACATAAATACTATAAACTAGTGGCTCCATTAAACATGGAATCCATTTACTCGTAATACTCAACAAGATTATTTCTTACATATTTGCCATTAACACCTTTCTTCAATCCCACTTTTAACACTCAATCTATTATTCAAAATTTTCACGCTTTCACGTGCACCATTCTTGAACCGGATTTTAAACATTCATTCAATCACTCAAAATTAAGCTCACTATCACTTAAAATTTCTCACACATTTTATGTTATTCTTCCATCTGTATTTACTTTTCTTCGACTCCATGTTCAACATTCATTCCATCTCTTAAATTTAACTCCACTGCCGCTCGTTTCAAAACTTCTCTATACCGATCATTTCTTACGTGATTCTCGCAAATCGAACATCCAACTAATCCACTAAAGTAGCTATCTTAACTTAGGATAATCGTGGAGTCGTCGACCAGGGGGGAATATATGGAGTTCATTCAGCGCCGCTACAATTATGTCGTAAAACTTCTTCGAAGGGTTTGTTTTGCCAACAATAAAGGTTAATTAAACTGGTCGTCTGCTCGAATCCACGGGGGGGCCTCTTGACTTTACGTTCGTGTGCTCGGGTTTCTTCAAATAGAAAACGCCTTTATTTCCAGTAAACGGGATCGAGTGGCTCGCTTTTCCTCTTATTCTGTCCCTTTTACATTATTTCACTCGGTTTTGCCCACACCTCCAGGACCGAATTATTAAGTCCCCATGACGAATGGTAATATAGTAATCAGGTGAAGGGCGTATCGGGGACTTTTCGGGTTACATAGCGTTCAGTCCACGGTATACAGAAGAGCCACAATGTTTCGATTGAAGGGTACGTCGATCCTATACCTCAATACTTTAGGTACGTTTCTCAGCATTGTTTCCTGTTTGTCAAACGAGACAATCGTTCCTGCAAACTGTCCAATAAACACGAATTTCGACCTGTTTCTAGACACTGTGTCGGCGATCACTGTACACGCTTACCAAGCGCACGCGTATGGCACTCGAGATTGCGATTTAATTAAATTCTTCCGATTAGTCGAATGAAACTTTTGCGAACGGTGGTCTTTATGGTATCTGACACGCGTAAGTGCTGGTATCGAAGATAAATATTGCGTAGCCGCGTTTAACTGCACCGCGATAACAGTTTCTGCGATTCATGAAACTATTGAATTGTTTTACTCCTTAATCTCCGTAGTTTGTGATGGAAAAAGATGTGTGTCAAGGAATTTTCTGTGTCGCATTTGTAGGTGATAGTTGTTTTCAAGTACGACGAGTTTGAATTTGCGATAAATTCGAGATCTGTTTATATCGCTAAGTAGAATCATTTCTATTGCCAATGTTAACTTATTTGGTTAATTCTTGCAATTTTTTGCTAAACCTAGTCTGTTTTTTTAAACTATATCTATAAATATATGACTTTCATAAAATCAAAAGTTCAAATTGATTGGTTCATTGGTTCAGGAGATGTGTCTTTTTTATTTTAAAATAAATAGCGTAATCTTCCACCCTTCAATAGAGCATAACCTCCCCAACTTGTCAAATTTTAAAAAATTTCTTTATCCGTAGAAAAAGTACGATTGAGTACAAATAGATAAATGATTCCAAATTTTTATTTTACATCAGGGCTATTCAAATACCTTATATAGTAGCCATAGGAAGAAGTGTTAATCCTTGCCTTCTAATGACAAGTTACACTCGTGGTACAAAAATTGTTCAGGTGTTTGAAGAGATAGTAGTCTATTGAGGAAATGTGAACAGGCGAAGATGTGGCAAAATTTAGAATTCTTCTATCATCGACGGCCTTATTTGGCCCTCCTCTTAGCTTCAACGAAAAGTCACCAATCTTGAATTTCGCACACCAACGTTGAAGTATCTTAGCATTAACATAACCTTCTTCAAATGCTAAATTTATATTTTCACCAATTTCTACCACAATTTTTCCAAGTTTAAACTTGTACAAAAAAGTTACTTAAATATCCCAATTATTCATCAGGTCAGATAATAATGAGGTCAGACAATTGTACTACGACAGCAGATTCTTGTTTCTTGACTATCTTATACAAAACTTGACGGACAAAATTTAATACATGGTATCAACCCTCGAATTTCAGCTGTTGAAAAAACGACATCATTTACACCGAGCTAACAAATGAGTGGTAATATCTCAATCAGAAAAGGTGGTTAGCTGTAGCAAGGGCTAATCAACGAAACAGTTGGAAATGTCGCAAAGGACACTTGATATGCAATATACAAATGTTGCACGGTACAATAGAGGTAATTGTGATGCCACTGACGAATAGTACCCGTGCGGGTCCAGAAGCATCGGTTAGAGCCAGAGAAGATCAACGGTGTGGGGATCATCGCGGTTAAGGGGATGGCGGAGAAGTTGAGGGCGTCGCTACAGAGAGGCAGGATGAGCAGGGCACGCGCTTTCACCATTTCGCATAGCGAAATGGAAGAACAAACGCTATAATAGGGTGGCAACGAGCCCCAGGAGCCTTGTTTCTTTGCTCCCTTACACGTTCTTCTTCCCCTCACGCTTTTCCGCCGGCTCGTACGCAAAACATTCCACCCCTCTTGCTCCGCTAGAAACAGCAGAACGAAAGGGAGAAATCGTAACGCGGATGTGGTTGATTAAAGACGAATTTGTGGTGTCGAACGTTACCAGCGTTTAACGAATAAAAATAAGCATTTCGGTTTCGTTGTTGAAGCTTTTAATTTCAGCGACGGGACTCGGTTTTAATACTTGGTAAAAGCTAGGCGCGTGTTTCGAAAGAAGTTCCTTTTGTAATCTCTGGGTAAATATTGCACGACTGTGTGATGCTTAAATTCTTCCATCTTTGATACACACGATTTACATTCCTCGAGATGCCTTTTTTTTTTCCTTATCGAATAACAGAGAACTTCTCGCGAGGGAAGCATAACAAACAAGTTATGTAATTTTCGGAGAACGGTTAGTTGGAAAAAGCGTCGTACGACGTGGTAAATTTCGAGAAACAATTTGTAGATAATAATTGCATTAATCAATTATAAAATTCGTTAACTTGTTGTAGGGATAAATGTTGAAAATTTCGACAAAATTAAATTACACAACTTCTTTTCTCAACAAGTCCAATATCGAGTATATATATACTACTACGTATATATATAATAATATATACAGGGTGTGCTCGACAGTATTGTAGTGGTGTTTCCTTATTCAAAAGTAAATAATAAATGTACAATATAATTTGTTCATCCGAGGCTTAGTATCTGAGAAAATCTGCTTTGAAAATCCGTTGGGTAGGTCTGCATAAAGACGCTAGTTCCAACAATTCCTCAATTGATATAATGAAATATCGTTGATCAAATTTCTCTAGTAACTCGTAAAAGTCGCGTATACATTGTATACAAACACAACAGTCATTTTATATCGTTTGACGAACCGTATCTTGGCTATGTAAGTGCAAACGTGCGCCACAGAATTTTCAAACCCGATTTTCTCAAAGATTGAGCCTCGAATGTAAAAATTTTACTCTACACTTTTTCCTTATTTTTGCACAAGGAATCACCTCCTGCCCTCTTTTACGATACTTTCGGTCGCACCCTGCATATCTGCACTTACACGGCCAGACACAATGCGTAAAATAAAATTATCTTGACTGACCTGGTGTAACAATTACGCTATTCAGAGCACTAGCAGATCGAGTGTTGACAAGGAACCGACCGGATAATCGTAGGTGCGAGTTTCGATATCAGAGAGATGAAAAAGGCCGACGGTAATCCTTGCCGACTCACACAGTCGCACGCCTCGTAGATCGAAAAACCGACCGTTCTCCCCTTCAAACAACGCTCTCCTGGGATTCCGATAGACTTCTTCGGATGTAAAAGTTCAAGTGGTGCAAGTTGGATGGTTAAAAATCGAAATGCCGCGAAAAAATCGACACCCGAACACGCTGATTTCACGTTACACACAACGTACCTTTCCTCTTGTCTTTTTTTCCCCCGGTTTCTTCTCTTTTTCTTTGCGCGACATCGTCAGACAAGGTACATCTTCAAAATTTTTCTGCACGAAACGCTTCATCGCGACGAAATTATCTTCGGCTGAAAATTTGCTATACGCGTAGGAAGAGATTTGTCGCAATTAAAGTAACACCGTGCAGGACTTGGAATTTTTTTTTTCTTTTTGATTCGATGACAATCTTCAAAGATAAAATGTCTGTCGATAAGATTTAATGATGTTTTATGTTTGTTTACGTGCATCGGGTTTCAGCGACGATTATGCTTAACATGGCAAATATTTGCGTTCGCGAACAATGTGCGCGGTATTGAAAACGAAACGACACGCGAATAACGCGCGTCTGACTGGTTTTTTTTGCATTTTGTTGACAATTTGTCGAATCATCGACTCGTAAAAATTGATACTGTTTGTTTTATTGAGGGTATAACGGTAACACGTATGTATTTTAAACGTTCTTGCTTTTCAGATTTCGCCGAAAGATATGCTCGATTAAGTGTTATGTTCGTAAATGTATTTGTTAATTCTGTGAACTTTTTCATGAGTGTGATACTACGTATTTTAGATTTTTTTTTTAAGTGAATTTGTCCACAGTATTTTGTGAAGTATTTTGTCAGTATTGTATTAATTGATATTCAAAGATTGACGAATACATTTTTTATTCAAAGTGCGATGAATAAATGATCACGGTAACAAAGATTTGATTACAATTACCAATTGAATTTCTAATGAATGTCTATTCGTAGAAATAATCATAGTCTTGATGTTTCATAATTCATTAGATACTCGTGATGTAAATGCAAACGGCGGTTAGGTTTAGTAACAGTATTACGCTGCACCTCGCATTTTGTATCATCGTTACAGTTCTCAGGTGACACAATAAAGACAGTAGTATAGTAATAATAATAAAATACCAAAGTGTATTCTTCTATTTTCAGTTCTACGTTTAAATATAACATATAAAAGTAACAGATAATTATCTGTTAAAATTGTTACAAGTGCATACACTGAAAATTGCTAGGAAAAATGTGTCAAAAGCCACTATTCTGATTTTCAATGTTTTACTTAAAAACAACACATGATACATTGAATCTCCTCATTTCACGAAATTACTCGATTTGAAAGCGAATTTTCGTGCAATTTTCACTCGCAAATTTTCCACGAAACACGCCTCATATTCTTTGGAAACGTTACAAGCCCCCACGATAATAATTGACCGCAATCTGGGTAAAGTTGAAAATTCGACGTGCCATAATGTATTGTTCTAATATTTGGACAGACATGATACGTGTTGCGTATCTTCCGAAGCCCATTTACCTAAATAGTCGAACCCCGATCTTCATGCTCGCTTTTGCCAGCAACTTCTTCCGTCGTGCTGTGAAACACAAGGTTTATCATATTGGGTAGAGATTTTTTTGTCGAAAATCGGGTTTCTCTTTGACACGAATTGTACTCGGTAACCTCGGAGATTTCGTGCCAGCCATGCTGGTTCCACCTATATATACCATCGAAAAGTCTAAGGTCGAAGCTTATTCGTGATGTCTGGAAGGCCTCGAGCACTCTTATCGAGGAGTGGTGGATTAACGTGCACGCCTTTGATCTTGCCGGCCTGGCCTTATCTAATCGTTTTCCTTTCTCCCGTTCCGTCCCGTTCTCTTTCACGTCTCTCTCACTCCACCGTTTCGCTCTTCGTTCCTTCTCATTTTGTATTTCGTACTCGTGTAATCGTTTTCGAATGCCACGTTGAATTCACACCATCACCGACGCCAGCTTGTCGGCTCCTTTTTGCCATTTTTTTTCGAGCTCCTTCGTCGCTCGTAATCCTCGCCAGGACATTTCGTTCCATCGCGGTTTTTTTACGTTTTTTTGTTTCTTTGTCTCCTCCGCTGTGAAAGTATTCGTCTTGTCGAACCGAGGTTGCTTATTTGAAATTCATTTTTGACAGTCGATTTCTAACGGACGCAGGTAACTAAGATAACGAGAGTTATTTTCTGCCGATGCTTAATCTTTGGCTAATTATTTCGATAGAGCTCTGTAAACGTTTCTTTGTTCTTGTAGCAATGGAAACAGGTGATCGTTGGATTGTTTCTTTTGTTTGTAAATTTTCGATTTATGTTTTCGTCGAGTCTTGATTTGTCTGGATCTATTGGCCGTGTGAGATGCTATTTGAACGTTTTTAAATCTCGTTTTTAGTTACTTTATTAATGCCCCTCCGGCCGAGATGTGTCTACGAGTGTGATCGTCAAAAGCGTTATCTTCGTTAAACGCGTTATTGACAAGAGAATTAGAGAAGCAGATATTATACGTGTAATAATGTCGAGCCTTATCTTTTCCTTCTCTTCTTTTCAGGAAAGACTCGAACAAAAGACAAATATAGAGTGGTCTACACAGATCACCAGAGGTTGGAGCTTGAGAAAGAGTTCCATTACAGCCGTTACATCACGATCCGTCGTAAGACAGAACTTGCAGCTAATCTCGCGCTCTCTGAACGACAGGTGAGTTGTAATCGATAAATATAATGCGAACTTTAATCGTTGCTAAAATATTCAGATCAAGTTGAATTTACAAAAAGTGCGAGAATGATAGGCAAGTTTTACGTAATAGGAGTAGGCACTTGCTGAAACGAATGTATTTAGGGGAGACCGGGGTAAGTTGTTCCGATGGTTATATCATCAAAATGAAAAGAGACAGGATTCTGCTTTCAATTGTTTTCGCCGTGTGAGTCGATCACGCTACTCTATCGTTCATTTTGATAGCGTCCGCGACAGCGAATCTTGTGGTTATAAGCAAGCATCTATTTAGTCCCGTATCAGAAAAGTAAATATTTTTCGATCGTTACTTTTTGGTCTATTTCCATTATTTAACGTAGAAATTATTAATTGTTTCGTCCTTATGGAGCAAATTACATTTAAGAACACGTTGCAGTAGTATTTATTAGACTACTTCAATATATAAGCAGAATATTCGCATAAATTGCCACGTGTGCCGATGGGGGCTAGTTATTCCTCTGACTTGGGGCAGGTTGTTACATCTGAACCGTGAGCAATAGAGTGTTATGCCGGACAGGCAAATATCTCGATAAATACACATTTTAGACATATTACACATAAATATTTATTCACTCAGCTTTTAATGCTTTCTTAATTTTCGGAAAGAAATACAAGATGTTCCATTAAAAAAATCATAGTGACCTTCAAAACTTTATGTATAAAAACAATGTAGAAAAAAAAAATTATTGTAATATATGCCTCCGTTGGAATCATGCAATTTTTGCTTGAAACGCTATTTCGTACAGCGAATAGTTTGCGAGCTATCAGGTTGTCAAGTTAGGTGAATCAGCCTGTATTGTTTTAGCTTTTTCTTAAAGATAATACTTATATTTTGCTGTAACAACTTGCCCAAAGACGGAGTTAGAAGTTACGCTTCGCCGATTTGCAAATAAATGACTCCCTGCGAAAAACTAATTAAAATATGTTAAATATAAGCTTGAAATCTTAAAGCACAATATATTTAACAATAAATTAGTTGATAATGAAGAGAATAACTACATTATTTTCTGGTCAATTTTTTTGTTTTCTCAAAATCTGAACTTTTGGCCTCGGTCTCCCCTATCTATTTAGCCTCGAATTCCTAATTTATCAATTATTAGAATAATTGTACTAGACATGCTTTACTCAATTTTTATATTATTTACTAAACTATAATTGTAGCGTGCTACAAATGAAAAAAATTGCTAACTAACGTCAACGTTTTCTATTCATCCTCTTAGTGTAGCTATAGCTAATTTAGATATATAATAGATCACTCGATTACTCGAGAATTATTTACTAAAACAGCTTTCCTTACTAGTAAAACATGTAAAACATTTCAGTCAAATTATCAACGTTTCAGAATTATTTACGAAAATAATTTTCTCCCCCAAAATTGTTTCAAATTGTTCACAAAACGGATTCAATTATTTCCAACAACTCACAGAAAACTCTGCAATTATATCTCATATATTACGTACACACAGATCTTATTATCGTAACAAAAGCAACATCCACGAAGAAAGTATTTGATTTGATCTGTTACAGGTAAAAATCTGGTTCCAAAATCGACGAGCGAAAGAACGAAAACAGGTGAAGAAGCGGGAGGAGTTGGAGCAGAGCGACTCGAAGTCAGTGGACGGCTTGACGAGCGCTGCAATGGCCAATTTGACGATCGGAGGAATGGGAGGAATGCTGGGTGGTTTGATGCACAATGGCGGATCACCGCCTCTGTCCCTCGGCCATCCTCCTCATCCATTGAGTTTAGGCCACGCGGCCGCTTCTCTGCATTCTCACGCCCATCAGCATGCTCATCCGCACACTGTGTTAGGCTTGTGACCTGAGGAACCGGTCACAGAAACCTGGTCCAGTCATGGCTGACCTCGCAAACCTCTCTTCATTCGCGATCACGGGAAAGAAGACCATCCATATTTAAATACTAGCCTCGTTCTCTACGACGCAATAGATCATCGTTCGTGATCTTCTTCGCTATTCGCGATCAAGATCGAGAACGGGAGGGACGCGACGCAATTAAACTTGCGATAATTATCGGAATCTGATGATTTGAAAAAAGAAAAAAGAAGAACAGCCAGGATTTTTCGCGTTTAGAAAATACTAAATTAATATTACGAACGTTTGCAATTTTTCTTTTATCAACGTCGACGACGTATTTACGATGGACGAGGAAAGAATCTTTTAGAGGGACGATGGTGAATTGTTAGAGTAAACGATAAACGTTCGCGCGGTCCTTCCGTTAGGCTTAAAAAAATGGCGACTGACACGAGGAATGAGGGTCTTTCGTTTGGCAAGATTGTCAAGACTGGAAATTTGTATTTGTCCGTCCAACGGTGATTGCTACGTGAAGACGGAGATTTTATTTTTTGGATGTCTGTTAGGATCATTTGTTAGCATTTTTCGTTATCCTCGAACGTGCGAGGAATTTTCACGATGGCGGCGGCGAGTTCTTTCGGCGCGCTCGCGTTGCCCTCGATACGTTTATTTCTCTTTTCTTTTCTTTCTTTTTTTTTTTAATTTTATTTTATTCGCACACACACAGTATTATTTTCGATTTCGCTAGAACGAAGTTCTTACCACGAGTCGCTTTGTAATATAGTGTTTTCTTCTCCCACAAAAAAAAACAACCCTATTAAAAACGTTGTATACGATTTTTATCCAGAGACAGAGTATTCCCTCTCTTTCTCTCTCGTTCTGTCTCTGTTTTCCTTTCATCTCTTCTTCTTTATCTTTTTCTTTTCTTTTGCACGAGAGCATTGTCAGCGCAAATCGCTTGCGCGGAATCCGAGAAATAACGCTTCGGGCGAGTTCGGAAATGTCGCCGACCGACAATCGGGGTCTCTGGTTCGCCGGTATGATTTAGAGAGAACGAAGAAGAGGAAGAAAAATGGAGAATTAGGGAAGGAAAACGTGCAATCTTTGCCTTAAAACCACGAGCCACTGTATAGGTAGTCGTATCGAGTGGTTGCGTCGAATGCGAATAGACGGAATTTAAACGTTGCATTAAGTTAGATTTTTAGAGAAGACGAAGAAAAGAAACGGTGGAAATATATATAAATAAATTAATAAATAAATATATATATATAATACATATATATATATCTTTTTTTTCTTTTCTTTGCAGAGGAAGTTAGTCGAGAACGGGGCGGTTTTATTTTTAATTGCACGTCGATGTGGTGTGTTGAACTTTTTATTGTAAATATAGCGGTTAGGCTTTTTAAAATTTTTTCCAACGAAAGAACCCCTTTCTTTTCGATAACGATGACTTGGATGGGATCAGACGACCTGTTGTATGTTTTATACATTCACATTCATCCGGTTAACTGAGACACATTGAAAAGAAGAAAAAAGACAAAAAAAAGGAAAAATGATAATTGGTCGCAGGAAATCAAGGATCTGCGATTGAAGTCGCGACACCGAAGATCTCATTTCTCTTTCGTTTTATTTATCTCGCCGTTGATGAGCGTTGATAATGTTATTATAGTGTGTCGTTGCAGTATTTTCGAAGCGTTTTTGAAGGTAACATTAGAGCGAGCGATCATTGAAACACGATGCTTTCGTTACAAATTGTAAATAGAATAAAGTTTATGACGCTGGAACCCCTTGGTACTGCATTGATATATTCATGTTCCCTTAACAAATAGCAATAAAAAAAATTAGAACTGTACTTGCAAACAGCATTTTGTGAGTAAAACTGCTACGAAATTTCATACTTACATCAACTTCTTTCCTTCGGCTGCTAATTCTTTCTGATCGTTTCAATGTAACAATAACGATACGGTTCGACGCAACGATTCTGCGATCAAAAGAAATCCTTCGTTTCGTTTACTTGTATATATACATGTGTAATTCATATCGTAGAAATTTCGATTTTTTCTAAAATGTTTCGCCACTTATTGCACAGCTGGTCGAAGAAGCTTGAAATTTCTTGTTGAAGTTTATCTGAAGAGATTTCAGTTATTGTAAAATTGTTTAAACTAATTTTAAAGGTTTACATATTCTCTGGAAATTCTTGCAATCCCTGTAACCTGTAGTTCCACTCCAAATTTCTGGTCGATGATGTATCCTCTACGAGAGAATAGAGAATCAAGCTTTATTTAAAAAAAAAAAAGAAAAGAGAGACGTGAAATAGTAGTTGAGAAGAAAAGCAACGAAATAAAACGAGGAAAATAATTCACGGTGTAAGTGTTTTCACGCTGATTACGCGCGACGGTAAAATTAACACCTTGGTGAAATACAAGCTTCGAGATATCCACAGTCGCAACGGTGGAATCGATTTTTCACACAACGTGGAGACGAAACGGGAGCAAGCTTTCATGGAAATTAAGTTTTGCAATGATTTCAATTTCTGCATGGAACGGGATCTATTTATTTTAAAATGCTTGAAGAATCGTTTAGGCTCTAAAAGCTCCATTGCCACTGTTGCGCGGGTGCAATGGAAGGAAAAAGAAGAGATTATTTGAACAAATATATTTGATTAATAGTAAACCTTTTTACGCAAAAAGAAATCATATGTTGAATATTTTTGTCGATTAGGTACTGTGTTATTTCTTTCTCGTTACAACACACGAAGCATAATTTTACCTATTGGTACCCAGACGTTGCACTGTTCCGCCATTAGCAATAGTATTAGGACACTTAGATAGCGAATGTGAAATACTGAAATCTACTGAAATTTACCAAAATCTACCAATATTCTATTAATATTAAATGAAATTTAATATCTTCTGTATAATCTAATATGTTGGATTCTAGGGAAATCTACTGAATTTTACAGACGCCTACTGAAGTCTACTAAAATCTACTTGCTGAACGTACAATAAGCCTCATTGTTTAATATAAAATAATTTGACCCACAGAAGTCACTATAAAATTATGAAGAACCTGAAAAAAAGATTATTCGTTCTAGAATCTTGAAGCATAACGAGTACGTGTGTTTTTTTAATATATGACACTAATTTAGGCGAGGAAATGTAATTTAAATCATGTAATACTTTCTATACGAACATAACGGGTGTCCTAATACTTACGAACGGCTCTGTGCATACGATATTATTACTTCGGCATTGCTTCCCTGAGAAACTATACGCGAGATCACTTTAACGAGGAATCGAAAAGTAAACCGCTGTAAACACGCGAACGGTACCTATCTCTTTTAAAGCGATCGTTGAAGTCGCCTCGTGGGAAAAGCGCGAGATTGCGTCCATAGGTGTTTAAAATGTGCTTAGACGGTGGAAAGATATACGTAAAGTGATACCGTAGAACGGGGAGAAAGGTAAAAATATATACACCCGGAGTTTGTTATGCAAGTTTTTTCATCGTACCGATTTTAATCCTTGACTTTTATTACCGTTTCTAAAGTTTCTCGTCTGGATTCGTTTCTCCGTTCCTCTTTTCCTTTTTCAACATGTTAACGCGTTTTATGTGACTTTACTGCTGCACCGTCGATGTTAGGAGATTTCGAATTTTAACGACAATAAAAATGAACGAACGAGGACGCTGCTCTGTGGTTGGAAAGAGGAAAAGAAGAAGAAACAAGTAAAAGAAGTGCCGGTGTTTTACGTGCCGTGTGCCTTGAGCGTTGCCAACCCGTAACACGCAATTACATGCGATGTTTCTTTAGACGCGTGTGGATGTAAATGAGAAATGATCGTAACGCAACATTGTTCAATCTCACGTGAAATATATATATATATGAGTATCGCAGTCCGTAAGTTATTACTTTAGTGATTACTAATATTATTAATATTATGGATGTTACACGATCGTTAGTATTATTCCGATATGTGATTGCATTGGAAATTTCAAAATACACGGTATTATGTTTAGTAACGACATCGTCTATTTCATTCCAGTCCTAAGCAAACCTAATTTAGAAGCAAAGAAAAATTAAAAGGTAGAAATTCTATAGAATTCCGATAGAACAAAATTATTTCAGAATTAGAATAGAACAATATTCACCTATTATGTTGCAATGCTTCAAAATTTGTTTTCAATAATTAAAAGTAGGATCGCAAAGAATGTATCTTCAACGAGAAGCACCGATGGGTCATCGAGTGATGCTATTTGAAAATGTGACCCACCGGTGGGTCACCACATCATTTTACAATATTCTATGGAAAAACGCGTATATTTAACAGGTGAAAAGATTAGATACTGAAAACTGAAGTATTAACTCGTAACCTATGTCATCGCGACGTAAAGTCTCGGAGACTCCTCTTAAATAATTCGACATTACCAAGTCTAAACTTTCTAATATATAGGTACTAGACTCGTGACTCTCTTTGTTACATAGATATTTGAAGAGACATCTACTTTTGCAAGTTTCATTCCAAACCATTAAAAGTTGTCTTCACGGCACAGCATATTGTGAAACAAAATGGAGTGAGAAAAAAGAAAATACAGTTTATCTACGAGGTATTCGAGAAAATATCGAAAATGTAGAACGAGCTTCGGATACAGTCATAAATAAACAACTTATTTAACAATAATAAACACTTCGGTAAAATCGTTTCGTGAATTTCGCTGCTTTTAAATACGAACCCTGATTCTTCTCTAAAATGATTCGAAACTAGCAATTCCTAATGATCGAGTAGCTGGTACCCTCTTGTTGAAATTCTCGCGAACAATCTACGGCCAATGAAATTCGTCGAAGTTTAATCGCGAGACGAACGTAGTGGAATAACGATTAAATCCGCAGGAGTGGTAACGCATCGTTTACGATCCCCGCGATTTGTTTGCGATACCTCCGGCGAAAAAGTTTCCCGATGTCTCCGCGACACCCGCTTGAATGGCTCTCGTTAGATCGTACATAAATACGAGCATAAAAACGTGTAATGCGGTTTATGGGAGCGAGCAGGCAAGTGGTAACCGATACTGGTGTGTATCCGCGGGACACACAGAGAGACCAGGGCAAATAAAGCAAGAGGATACGAAGGTGGCAGAATGCGAAGGTGGCAACGAGTCCCATGGGAGCCCTGAACTTAACTACCAGATCGATGTCGTCCGACCCTAGCCCCTCTTCATCCCCTGGAAGCAACCCCAGCCGCCTGCACGCAACCAAGTTCTCGCTTCCTCTAGTCTACACTCTCGAATGCTCTTTTGCTTTTATTCTTTTTTTTTGTCTCTCTCACTCTCTCGCTATTTCGTTTCTTCTTTTTTCTCCCCCCTATTGTCTCTCTATTCCTTCGTTCTTCATTTTTCTTCGCTATTGACTTGATTCTTTCTTCGTCATATTTTTCATCTTCTCTTC